AATGATTTAGTAATAAAAAATTATAATGTAGATTTCTTGAAGAGAAAATGTAAGTCTAGGAAGATTCAATTGATCAAATAAGAGTTTAGTGATTATGGTAAGTCTATGTGAAGATGTTGAGAAAAGATAGAGGTATAAAATGTGATCGTTTCTCGTACGTTTGAGATGGTAAGATTATTATAAAAATTTGTATGACTAATTTCCTATTTATCCTTGTAGTTGATGTATACTGAAGATAATTTATATATATTAAGTTGGATGACATGATGACCATGTTGATATTCATTATAGAATTCACAAGTTTAGTCAAGTCTAATACATCAAGAAATTATAAAAGGCTATACTGGATATAGCAAGGATATTTAAATGAAGCGTTAATTATAAATAGTGATAAATTTATATTCCGAGGAGTCTTTCACATATTGAATTAAGGATCCATAAGATTACTGAAATTGAGAAAGGAGAAGGATTCTTTAGTTAAATGTTGTTGGAAGAGATATATGAGAACACTTGTAGATATTTATGAATCGCTACACAGATCATAGACCAATACAATGATGAGTGGATATATTACCTCAGTAAATAACTAACTATATTAGAGTAACTTGAGTTGTCCAAATATTGTTTAGTATGCTCTCGATTGACTATAATTTTATTTCAAAGGTGGATCTACTTCATTTTGCGTAAGTATGTATCTTATTTTGGATTTGAATATTCTTTTTGACTTTTCTCTTATGTTTATACATATTCCTACACCTGTAGATGGTTCTTAGTGGTAGATCGATTACATTGATTTTATATTGACTTAATAGTGTATGACACGTTGAAAAACTTAGTTATTATATATACGGAAGATTTAAACATCATTTGGATATGGATTGAATTTCTTCACTGTCATGCAATTTATGACTATAATTCTAATAAAATAATGTCAAATGTGTTAGGTTATCCTAATTTATTGTGGCAGGATAGTCTCAGTACCCATTCAAGAAAGGTATTTTCGTCTCTAAAGTTTCAATGTGTGGGAACAAGTGTTGCTTCACCTATTCGTCTTATGTTTGTGATACTAGTGATGTTATCGCTCCTTTAGATCCCATTCCAATGATGCAAGATTTTTTTAGGGTATTTTATGTGAGTGTGATATAAAAGTTAGTATTGACTTATATTTAGACACTTGATCTATTTCTATTATTTCTTATTGGAATACTCCAGTGAATTTGAAAGAATGTAATAAGATCGTAACAAGACTTGTTGAGTACAAAATTTTGTTGGATCAAGTATACTTTTATTGGGTGTTTCTATTATATTGGGATTCCTCTTTTATTATTTTCATCGAGGATATATTGGTATACTCCCATAGCAGGAAGGATCACCAACATTATTTGAGGATGGTTCTAAAAAATCATGAAAAAAAATAAAGCTCTATACATTTTTTTGCGTGGGTTTCGATTAGTTTTGTGGCATGGTTGAAAGTGTAGTGATCAAGAAATGTATTATGAGGGATCCCAAGAGAATAGAGGTGGTTCGAAATTGGGTCTGACCTATTTTAGTTACGATATTTAGAGTTCTTAGGCCTAGTTGGTTAGAATCGATGGTGCTCTCATTCATTACACATGTATTTGATAGATTAACCTAAAAGTAAGTGGTTCTTCAATGGTTTAATGTGTGTGAGGTGTGCTTTCTAAAACTTAATGTTGGTCTATTTCCCATGTTCCATCCAAAGGGTTCATGGCTTAATCCTACATAAAAAGGTTTAGAATTACTCTTTATTTGGTTTTATATTCTATTAGGAAATGGATTGAAATTGTAATCTTATTTGTAGTTTGTTTTGATTTGTAGGGAAAAGCACAACTCTATAAATAGAGGAGGGTTTTGGGAGAATAATTCAATTACTAATTACTATTTTCTTTGAAGGACATTAGGACATAAGAGAGGTTTTTGAGAGAGCTTTCAACAAGAGAGAAGAGAGAAGAATTTTTTTTGTTTTGCTACAGTCTTTTTCTCCGACTAGCAACCTTCATATCGTGTTTCTCAATTAACTAAGCATTGGATTGATCTAAAAATTGTACTGAGTGTTCCCGACATCGTGTTGGTTGATTTGAATGGTGGAGATCAGATTCAGAGGTCATAAACATAATATTTTAGGTCCCGAATAGCTGCTGCGTTTGGGTGGTATTTCTTTCTATTTATCTTTTAGATGGGTATTAATGTAGAAAGGTAAGTGATATCTTATTCTATGAGGTAGTTGAAACTGATTAACAAGAAGGATTATCATATCCATAATTTGGAGTTGGTAGTTGTAGTATTTACATTAAGGTTTTGAGGGTATTACTTTCATGGTGTGTACTGTGAGGGGTTGGAGGATCATGATAGTCTCTAATATATATATTTTTCAATCAGAGAAATATCATTTGAGACAGTGAAGATGTTTTAGTTTCTCAAGGACTATGACATCAATATCTTTTAGTATATGAATAAAACAAATGTGGCAGTAGATTTATCAAGTGGAAATATGATGCGAATAAGAAATTTAGCTTTATTACAAGTGATTTGAGCTTTATTTGACTAGGAATATTCAATCATTAGCCAATATCTTTGTGAGACTTCATATTTCAAATCTAATAGAGTTGTGTAATACATGTAGGCGGGGTCATCCTTATTGTATCAATCCGGTCTTAATAGTTTGATGATGGAGATTTATTTAGTATTTGAGACAAGGTGTCACAAGAAAAAGAAAAAAAGGAAATTCTTGACGGTAAGAGAGTTTTTGAGTTCTTTAGATAGGTTTACTAGAATAGTCATGGATGATGCCCATAATTCAAGGTATACAATTCATCCAAGAACTATTAGTATGTATCTTTTATCAACAAAGGATATATGAACACCAAAAATCTTGAGATGTTACTGAAGGGACACCCATACTAGAGTAGAAGTGGGAAATGATTCTACGAACTTGTGGTAGGATTTTCCACAAACCCTGGGTAAGGGTTGTTGTTATTGGGGTCAGTGGGGATCGATTGAGCAAGTCTCCATATATCTTTTTGATTTAGACTATTTATAAGTTAGAGAAGTTAGTTCAGTTTTACGATTGGGAGATAGTTTAATTACATGATGTTTTCATTATCTATTATTTTATATCGAGGCATATAATTTGTATCTCACTTGTGGTGTTCTGTGTGGCTGTAGTTGAGACTCGGGTGGATCTTAGTACATCCTTACATACACAGTGATAGATAGTCTGATCAGACTACTGAGGTCCTTAAGAACATGTTGTAGGCGTATGTGATCACTTTGATGGCTATTGGGGATAAATATTTGCTTTTAGTGGAGTTGCATACAACAACATTTATCTTATATATTAAGTTGGCTCCATTTTAGGCATTGTATGGTAGGAGACATGGATCTTCTGTTGGTTGGTTCGGATATATTTGACGCTAGTTATAGGGCATATATTTGTACATATAGAGACTGCTTGGACAAGGTCATGTTGACTCATGATAGGTTTCTGAAGGCTTAGGATATTAAAATGTGTTATGCAGATTGAAAAGTTCGGGATTCGGAGTTCACAATTGAAGACCAAATTTTATTAAGGTGTAACTCTCAAAAGGTGTGATGAGATTTGTAAAGATAGATAAATTGAGTTGTGGTATATTAGCCTTCTTGAGATTGTTCAGAGTATATGTGAGGTGGCTTATGAAAAGCTTTGCCACCTACCTTGTTGAGTGTTCACACTATATTTCATATCTTATTGCTAAAGAATTACCATCAAGGTGGTGCTCATGTGATTTAATGAGATTAGGTATTACTTGATAAGAATTTGACTTTTAAGGAGGGAGCAACAACTATCTTTGATAGATAAATGTGAAAATTGAGGTCGAAGGAAATAGCTTTGGTAAAAGCTTAATGGAATAATTGTGTGATTGAAAAAGCTACCTGATAGATGGGGTAAAAAGATGTGGATCAAATATCTGCAACGTTTTGAGTGTTCATAAACTTTCTATTGTTTTACCGTTCGAGGACGAACGTTTATTTTAGTGGTAGATGATGTAACGGGCCGCTTGATCGTTTTGAGAACTAGGACTATTTTGAATCTTTTCAAAAAATTAAAGGGGTATTTTAAACTATTTGGTAACTACAAGCATCTAGTTAACAAATTTTTGTTAAATGAGTATTATAGTTTAATAGTTAGTGGGTCACATCATTAATTAATAGTTACCACTTACCCATGTATTGACTTTAAGTTAAGGGAAATTTACACTTTACTACCTAATTATATTTATGGGAAAAAGGGGGAAAGAAGAAAAAGAGAAAAACAAAAGGAATAGAGGAGAAACTCTCCAGCGGCAACAAACAGGAAGGACAAAAGCAATAAAATTTGGATCTTTAGGTAAGGTAAGTAAATAATAATTTTTGCTTAACTTAAATTTTATACGGAAATTTTGGAGTATATTGAGAAGTAGGTAATGCGTGACTTCACTTTGTGAATTCCTAATCACTAGGATTTGTTTTTTTTACATTAAATTGCTAATAATTTTCTAATGACCGCTAAGGTTTAGTCTTAATTTATTTATAGATCTGCCAGTGATTTGCTAATGATTGACTTAGGTAGTAATATGTGAAATTTAGAATTTTACCACTACACCATTTTAGGTTTACAACAACACATATTCTGGAAAACGTTTATAAAGTGTTGCCTCAAGTTGTTTTGGGATTGCTTTTAAAGCGTAGCCAAATATTTTAACTTTTAGCTACAATAATATTGAAAACACTTCAAAAATGTAGTCTTTAATGGTATTAGCTACACTTTATAAGTGTTGTTACAATTTGATATAATTTACAAGACCTATTTACATATATGGCCACTTAAAATGTCATATTTTTATAATTGTAAAACAACACATTACAAGTATAGCCATAAAATTTTCACGAAAATTTTATATTTCCTCCAACATTTTTTACTCTCCCTCCCCTTTTTAAGAAAACAAAATAATAATCCATAAAACATTAAAACATTGTTTCCCCTAATCAGGAAAACTCATTTCTCTGATGAATTGAAAAGCGCTCCTTTCTCTGATGAACTGAAGAGAAAACAGTCTTCTCTGATGAACACACTTTTCTCAGAAGCTAAGTCCAAAGAACTGATCAAGCGATGAAGCTAAGTCTCTCCGTCACAAATGAACTGAAGATAAGTATCTCCGCAGGATTTTTTCTCATATTTCTTGCTGAAGAACACGATGACTCACAGGTTTCTCGCTGAAGAACGCGATCTATGTTATATTTCTCGGCGAAGAACACGATTTTGTTGGAATAGGGTTTATTAGGCTAGAAATTATATCTTTGAAAGTCTAAATTTTAGCTTTAGGGTTTTGACATTCTTGTGTTTTTATCCAATTTTTGAGATTCTAGCTCGTATTTTAGCTTTATTAATTGGAGATTAAACCGAGTAACTATAGGGTCTTGTTAATCGAATCATATCAATTTCATTCCATAAAATCATTAGTTTTTTTATAGCGAAACAGAATTGTGGAGCAAAGCATTGTCGTGTTTCTGAACCTTGTTTCTGTGGGTTATAGTGTAAATTTTACTTTGGCTTGGAATGATATTATGTTGAGTAGATAGGTCTGCATATTGTTAAGCTAATTTATATCTGATAATATCTTTATATGTATTATTCTATGGCAGATGGATCTGATAGCTAAGTTAACCATAAAAATATCGTGGATTACAAGGACATTTTGGTAGAGAAGGTATTATGTTATTTAGTTAATAGAACATGATTTGGAACTGAAATGATTATCCTTGACTTGAGAAAACTTCAATATCGAGTTGCCTCAAAACATGATTAATTTTGTTTTTCTTTAAGGGGAACTGGATATGCAGCGTTACCAACTATTGTAAAGGTGGAGATATGAGAGTGTTTATCCTAAGCTTGCAAGCATTTCTATACTTGTTGACATATGAACTTGTTCTATTTCTAATTACTTATATTAATGGGGACACTTCGGTAGTTTAGCCTGATTCCTCCAGGTGCTGGTGGGATATTTACACATTCTTTTGCTAGTGTTGCATTCTGGTTAAAGGTTTCTTTTCATTCACCCTTCTTTGAGATAAACTATCTAATTATTGAAGTAAAGTTCACTGAATTTGTATTTATTCCCCATAAGTTAATTTTGTATACTGATGTCAGGTTAGGGAGGTTGGCCAGTATGGTGATGGAATTTAATCCCTCATTAATAATGTTGAGAGTTTCTTTGCTTAGGGAAAACTATAAGAAGTTTGTGATGCCCTTGAGAATGGTTTAAAGGACACTCATGCAGCAACAATCATTGATGATTGTGTTATGCGTGCTAGGAACACAGCTATAACCGAGCAAACACTAACCTTGCTGCAAGCTTATGCAGCAGTATTAGCACTTGAAACAATGATCAATTATAGCAATCAAATGTCCAGTTTACACTACTTCTGCTGTCGTTTGTATGTATGCCCTGGTGGAGATTTAAGTTTTTCAATCAGTTACTTGTTATCTCGTCTGATGAACGCAACTTTTTAAATCAAGGAGATCTGATGTGTAAGTTGTCTGTTAGTTTTTTTCAGCTCAAATTAGACTGAGAATAATAATGTGAACCAGAACAAGGATCACAAGCAAAAAAATGAATACAACACATTGTTTCCTAACAGAAGTACAAGATGAGACAAAGACCGACAATGCTGTGTTACCAAGTTTTTCAAGAATTTCTAGCACTATATTATAGCATTTTGCAGCAGCTATATAAATTGATCTTATAACTTGTGCACTGATTTAATAACCTGCAGACACACAATCCTAGAAGGAAACCTGGAGCCACAACTACGCACACAAATCAGCAACCAAATCAGGAGAAGACAAATGAAAGTTTTGCTAGCATAAGAAGTAAATTGAGCCACTTCCCCAAGGTCATAATTAACAAGACCTGATCTCTTTAATCTTCTCCTGATTTGGTTGTTGATTTTTGTGTGTAGTTGTGTCTCCAGCTTCCCTGCTAGGATCTTGTATTGGTTATAGGATCAATTTATTCGTTCTTTTTTCTGGCCTAAATAAATACCTGATATCTGCTATTTTCTATACAGAAAAGAAAGAATGTTTATCCTAGAATTGCGTAGTTTAGAGGCTTTTTTTTTTTATTCTTTTCTTGACTGAGCCTTGATGATTATCCTTCCCTACTTTGTTTTCATTTATTTACTGAAAAGTTTTGTTCTGTCCCATGGTATTGACATTTTTTTCCTTTTCTTATAAGGTTATGCATGATAATTTTTACCACATGCATCAGATAGAGAAGGTAATGATCTTTTACCATCATATTGCCCCCCACCCCCTACCCCCCCACTCCCACCCCGTTAGTTTTATCACCAACATATCTTGTGAATTTCTTGTTACATAGTATACAAATTGAGTTTTTTTGTTCTTTGTCTGCAATGCTAGTACGATCATCTAGAGTTTCCTAGAGTTGAACCTTGCACATTTATCGATAAGTTTTCTACTTCATCTAAACTTATCAAGAGATTGTAGTACTTATTTTTACCATGTGAGATGATTCAGCACGAATGCCCAATTTGATATAGTTTGTTAACATGGAAGAAGAAATGTTAAGCGTAGAGCTGGAGAGCAAGAAGAAGAAGCTTGATTCTTGGGGCAGAGAACTGAATAAACGTGAAGCCTTAACTGAGCGAGAAAAGAAAAAGCTTGAAGAGGAGAAAAAACAGGTATCAAATTCCAGCATGAGTTAAAACTATATATAAATATTTCTCTTATCATGATAAAGCCGTGGTGGATTACATTATTTTGGCGCTCCATTTTGCCTATATTATGTGGATACTGGGTAGGATGTAACTATCAAGCTTCTGGACCCCTAACTCTTTCGAACTATAAAGTGTTGAGCTTTATTTTGTTGATTCAAAATGATGTGAGAAATTTAGCACTTCAAATGGCCTCTGTGGAAAAAAGAATGGCTTATGGGAATGTCTTAAAGACTTGTCGAAAAACAAAAGGTATATTTCAATGGTATTGTTTCATTTAAAGTTAGCGATTTCCCTCTTTCAGCTGACAAGAACTTTAATTTTGTACGTTGTTGCTGGCAGTTTCTGTATATAACAGATTTTGTGTTATGGGCTACTTATAACATCATCAGCTATGATTCAAGTTCTTTAAGTTGCTTGTTATAAAGCTTCTATATTAATTGATTTAAGCATGCTATGTGTACCATACTCAGATATGATTCAAGTCCTCTTAGTTGCTTGCGTCGTAGTTTCTGTGTGTTAACTGCTTTTTTACATGCAATGTAGGCTATTGTTAACATCTTCGATTGTGATTCAATTCCATTAAATTGTTTGTGTAAGCTTTTGCTTGACTTGCCTTGATATTTATTAGTATTATCAAGTATGTATAATCCTTAGAATTAACTCTAATTTTTTGTAAACTAATCCTTGATTGGTAATAGAAAGTTCCACTAGTTGGCTATGTTTTATTTTGAATGCCTTGTGTAGAGCTTCTTAGCTTTTTAAACTGTATTGGTTAGTACTATGACTACATACTTCTTATCAAGTATTTGTTGCTTATACAATACCTCAACGACGACTCTTTACATCTCATGTTCCACTATAGCTTTGAAAATTAAATCTATGAAGCTTTAAACTTTTTGGTGTGATCGACTATCTATTAATATTGCCCATTGTATTTCAAGTTTATAGCTATGTTTCACTAAACTATATGGAATAACAATCTGAGATCAATGACAATATGAGAGGTGTACTAATAGACTGGATCATTGAGTTAAATCTAATATTTGGAACTAATCAGAATTAATTAAGGTATACATTCCATTATTATGTTAATTAACTTGCTTATAATGATATTCTAATAAACCAGCAGGTACATGACAAGTTAGAGCTCAAGCAAGAGACATTATTCCTTGCTGTTAATTCGTTAGACAGATTTCTGGAAAAACAAGTTGCCAAAAACAAGCTGCAGCTTGTTTGTCTTGTTACCTTTCTAATAGCGAGCAAATATGAAGAAATTTTGCCTCTTGTGCACGGATTGTGATTATTTCATATGAAATCTTCACAAGAAAAGACATTCTTGAAATGGTAAAATACTCATGGCAATTATTTCAGCTACTTTGATATTTAAATTTATTCCTGATTAATTTTACTGTAGGAGAAATTGATGCTCATCACATTGCATTACACTTTGTCTTTTCCAACTCCAATCTGTTTTTATGAGAAGATTTCTCAAGCCTGCTCAAGTATTACTTCTGGGAACAAAAATAGTTGTGACGATTGTCTTCAAGTGTCTAGCTATATAGTCAATTTCTTTTTAGTCATACAAAATATACATACCAGAATTGTCTTTTGTGATGAGTATGAGGGACATAGAAAGACTAAATATTGCGATTTTACAGTAAATACTCTCCAATTTTTCACTTCTACAGCTTTATTGTTATGAATTAGCTTGGCTTACTGTGAATTTTAACCATGTTAAATAGCCAATTTATATCACTAACTTATAATTTTATTTCGAATGTGCAGGAAAATGCCAGTAATTGAATTTGAGTTGTGGACAAAAGTAATCTCGATCTATTGTAGTGAACGATGAAGAGTTTTTGTACTATTATTATATATTATTAAATGCATTTGATTTTGTGGAATTTATTAAAACTAGTTGTACAATACATGTTTCTCGAAATTTATCTGAAATATATCCTTTGATTTAATTATCAGTTAATTTTGTGCTTTATATCACTTGTATATTTAATTTTGGAATTATTGAATATATGCAAATAAAAATTATTATTCTGATAAGTAAAAATTGTGGCTACAAAATTCTACAAAATTTCACCACACTTCAGAAGTGTTGTTGTAGAACGTCTAAGAAAAGTTAAAGTTTATAAGTATTGTTATAGATGAGATATAAAAGATAACACTTTTTAAATATGATCAATAATAAAGCAAATACAACACTTCTAAGCGTAGCTGCAAAAATGTAGCCTTTTTGCCTTTTAGGCTACAGTTTTAAGTGTAGCTTATAAGGCAACACTTCTAAGTGTAGCTGAAAAATCGTGACCTTTTTGTATTTTAGGCTACGATTTTAAGTATAGCTTATAAGACAACACGTGAAAAGTGTTGCCTAAACTCTAAGGTAACACTTCTTTTGGCCACCCCAGGAAAAGTGTGGCTAAAAGTCAAAAAGTGTGGCCTTTTATCAAAGGTCACACTTTTGCATAGTTTAGGCCACACTTTTCTAGGGTAGTTAGAGGCCTAAAATGTTGTAGTGTACATAGGGATATAGATGAAGTTATTTCCAGTTTCCGGGATTAGCGTGTAGCGCATAGTTTGAAAAATTGGACCGTTTCTATTATTATTATTATTTTATTATTATTATTATTATTATTATTATTATTATTATTATTATTGCAGTGTAATCAAGTTTATTTTTCTAGATATAATGAGATAGGTAATTAATTATTATGTGTATATTATATGATTAACTTTGAATTCTAGGTTATTGGAGAGATTGAGGCTTAATCCTAGGCTCGAAATTTAACAAATTTGATTTGTTGATGTACAAATTATATCAAAATTAGGATCTTGATTAGATTTGAGTGAGATTTTGGGTCTAGGATAGACATATAATAATATGAGTGTCTACAAATTCGCGTGATTACAAATAATGTATATGTGATAGATTGTGAACATGTTGAAGCTTTGCGAAAGGGAAGGACAAAATCTTGAGGATTTATGAAACGTGTTCAACATTCGAAGTATGTTAAGACGTTCATACTTGTTGAAGGACGTTTTCCTAATTAAAAACTAAAATGGAATGGACAATGGGTAAGGATAAAAGATAGGTGTGTCGTACCAATGGTGTGACGACATTGGTACGAGTACCAGTGTTATAAAGGGAAAGTTATTACTATAGAATGTGGATCGTAATTAGAGAAATGCCAAAACATATGGGCACCAGCTGATATATTATTGAATTGAATTCCTTGTGTGATTATGTTTTTTTTATTACACCCATATAGTTGTGATAATTGAGGTGGTTATGTATTGTGTTGATATTTGACTGATTGAGGTGCATCATCATCCCCTTATTTTAAATAATATTGTGCATATGTATTGACATAAGATTGAGTATAAGTTGGGCACATGGAGATCATCCGTGCTGGGGATGGTGAGAGGTAAAGATTATAATTTGGGCACGTGAAGATCGTCCATGCAAAAATTATTTGATTTTATGATAGTGTGTTGAGATAGTCCACACAGATACGTGGAGATCGTCTGTGTTGGTATATGGACCTCGCGAGTCCCCCATGGGTCATGAACACTTGATGTATTTTCGAGGAGTATCATATATATACAATTGACAGAGTACTGAGTATTCTGAGGCATATCGTTCCATGGTGTGATATTGGATTGCATCTCATGACATCCTTCATTTTTGATGAATGTGTTTTATTTGGTTGTTGGAAGTTACTTGATGTTTGATTACCTCTATTTGATGAAACTTGACTGTTAAGTGTAATATAGACTTGTATAATCAAAGAATTGATGATTTTTTCTTATATAAACCCCGTCACTACTTCTTCATTGTCGGTCAATGAGATATACTGGGTACACGTGGTTTCGTTCTCTTACTACACTTATTGCATTATTTGTGGTGCAAATTGTATTTCAGTTTCGACTACGTTCTTAGAGCTTTGAATATGTGTTTTGATTGTCTTGGAGTTGTTGTACGCTGTTTGGGATATTCTGCTTCCCATACTTTAATCTACCTCTATTTATTAGGTTATTTTGATATTCTGATAGGATATTTCTTACGTTTAGATTTTCGTATTAGTTTGGACTTGTATCTTATTGTAGAAGCTCTTGTACTTATGACACTAAATCTTGGGGTGACATTTCTATTTTTCGCATTTATTTTGAATACTTTAGTATGTTAGATATTAGGTTGATACTTACCTTTTCACGTTTATATTGAATTGGTGAAATTTATTGGGTTGGCTTACTAATACGCTCAAACTTAATTCTCAAATAAGAAGTAAAGCGGTCGTATCAAGTAAGGAACCCAACTAATGTGGTTGGGATCGTTCCCACGAGGAAAATAATTTAGACTTAACTTTAATCTATTATTACGATTATTTGGTCTATTATTTCCTTAGAAAACAAAATACAATAAAAGGGGGGTTTTTATTCCTAAATGAATGAAAATAACTAACTAAATTAAAGTAATCAACTAACAGATTCAAATCTTGGAGTTTAATCAATTAATAAAAGTAACTAGGGTTTAAGTGTTCCCCACAGGTTCCTAACTTGATAATTTTAACTAAAACAATTCTTTCCTAGTATCTTGCATGCAAAGTGATAAGTTATGTATTTCTAAATCCTTGGTCCAGCATCTAGAAAGTTTCACTCCGCACCTTGGTCTTGCTACGTGTGTCGCTATACTAACCCTTACCCTTACCTCATATTAAACATTGTATTGGATATTTGACTAAGTTATTACCTCGTACAATCGACACTAGCCTATTATATAATATACACTAAATCTATGTTGATAATTCTTTTCCTATTATCTACCTCATTGGTCCGACAAGTAGCATTAAGACAAGTTCTAACGTTGGCCATCCGTTAAAAAGACTTCTAAACGAAAGAATTATCTATACATGCAAGACACTAATCTGGAATTGTTATTTTAGTTAGATTTTACCTCATTATCCATCCATGGTTCCCACAACCCTAGTTATGGAGTTAAGTTACCCATAGTCATAATCACAATATTCATATATTTAATATAAGAATTCATGCACATACTTTGATGAGAAAGAATAAAATTCAGAAATTCACTTAATTAATCAACAAAATCACCAACAATCAAATTCAGAAAAAGTGTAACAATCAAAATGTCTAATATCAAAGAGTTTACTAACAAAGAGTCTAACACCAAAAATTCTAACCCCAAAAATGAGGTTTTTCGAACTATTTATAAAAAATAAAAACCTAATAAAAGAAGGACTCTAATTACTGAAAATCTGTCAAAACGCGGCTGGGTCGACGGACCTCGTGGCGGACCGTCGTGGTCATGACGGGCCGTCATGGCCTCCGTCATCCCATACTTCTCAAATTCTTCTTCTGCTCTCTTCATTACCCTCAACGGCAGGTATGACAGACCGTTCCAAGCACGACGGTCCATCGAGGGTCTCCGTTCCATAACACTTTAAACTTCTTGGAAATTGGGTACTGGACTACTCTCTGATCATTGCGACGAACCAGCAGGATGGACCATCGTGGCTATGACGGTCCTTCATGAACTTTCGTAATCCCACACTTGGTCAGACATCTCCATATTCCTTCAGCAGCTTCACTACATTGTCACCTATGGACCGTCGCAAGCCCGACGGACCGTCATAAGCTCCGTAGGTGGTAACTTTTCTGCATTTCTTGCTCAAAAACTTCTGCGTTCATCTTTAGACAGATTTCCTGCAAATAAAGAGAAACTTACATAAAAATCAATACAAAAAGGCTTTTGGACACACACTAAATTTAAGGAAAACACATTAAAAATACCGTGAAACCACGGTATATCACTTACCTATCGGTTGGGAATATAGGTGTCATCACAACTCATTATTTTGGTTTGTGACACCAGCAAAATTAGCAGTTGTGAATCCAGTCTTCCATATCACACTTCTGAAGAAGTGTGTGTGATCAGCCTCTGTGGTGTCATTAGAGAGGGTTGTTGTGAAATATAGTTTTCTTTTAAGGACGTACAGTTGAAATCCTTGACCGTGAGGTTAGAAGGTTGTAAAACAAAGAAGTCGCTTCAGTCAAAGTTTTGTGGATGAGTCAGTTTACAGAGGGAGCTACTTGGGAAGACGAAGCAGCAAAGAAAACCAAGTATCTTCACCTCTTTCTTTTCGATTCTACTCCAGCTTGAGGTAATAGTTCCTTTTAATTTTTTCAGTCCTTTTAGTATCATGTTCCTTCAGTTTGCACTTGGATTTTCAGCGTGTTTGCATGTTCTTGGAACTGAGCTCAGTCTGAAATTCAGTTCTTAGTGCTTAGTGGTAGGGATTGCATCCCTCTCCCTCTATTGAACCTAGTTTCGTCATCATCTTAGGATGAATGGTCCCAAGGGGGAGATAATGTAACACTCCGTATTAAAAATAGACTAAATTTTAGCTTTTCAGAAAGTTGCATACGCAACCTACAGTCACAACCTACGGATGGTAGTCTGATCAACGGCCCGTGGTTCACCACTGCTGCCCGTCCCAAAAATCAACTTAGAATTATTGGCTAAGTCTCGACACACGGACAAACCTACAGTCCAACCCCTAAAATGTTGGGAAAAGGAAGAAATGGGGTTGGTATGCCACTTTTACTAAGTATGAGACCATATGCACACATACTTTGAAAAACATGGTAAGAAAAAGAGATATTTCATAAAGTAGGGGTTTTTGATAAAAAACCTTGATGCACATTCAACAAGACCATACCAATCAATATTTCATATTCATTAAGTCATAGGCATGTTCATCACAATAACTGTAACATCAAGTCTACTCAAGTCAACCATTCATACCATATAAGTAGATACATACTCAAGTAACCCATTTGTTATGCGGAATTCGAGATAATACGAGAAAATATAAATGCAAAAATCAAAACAAAAAATTTACGTGGTTCACCAATAAATTGGCTACGTCCACGGGAAGAGGGGGAGCA